CTGCCACCGCCTGGGTCACGGTGGTTTTGCCTGCAGGTCACACGGCACATCTCAGCCCCCACCACCGTCACTCCCATGAGTCACTCTCCTCTCGGGCAGCAAAGGCGGTCCTGCCACCTGTCCCTCGGCGCAGCTGGTTAAATCACGTGATGCTTCACAGCACGCGTGTCAAACTCACGGCCCGTGGGCCGCAGGCCTCGTTCGTTCGGCCCGCGTTAGCCTTTGAGTTTGACATGCTTGCTTCACAGACACTTGCAGGCCCTTGGGAACCTGGGATCCGCTCTCTGCTCACACCTCCTGACCTGCCAGCTGCCCCGGGAAAGGGCCCTCCAGCCGCCACACCTGCCACCGCCTGGGTCACGGTGGTTTTGCCTGCAGGTCACACGGCACATCTCAGCCCCCACCACCGTCACTCCCATGAGTCACTCTCCTCTCGGGCAGCAAAGGCGGTCCTGCCACCTGTCCCTCGGCGCAGCTGGTTAAATCACGTGATGCTTCACAGCACGCGTGTCAAACTCACGGCCCGTGGGCCGCAGGCCTCGTTCGTTCGGCCCGCGTTAGCCTTTGAGTTTGACATGCTTGCTTCACAGACACTTGCAGGCCCTTGGGAACCTGGGATCCGCTCTCTGGTGTCGGAAGACCGGGAGGGGAGCCCGACTGGCCCTCTTGTTGGCAAATGATCCGCAAGCTCCGGCGTGGGGGCCGGATAGGCTCTGCTCACACCTCCTGACCTGCCAGCTGCCCCGGGAAAGGGCCCTCCAGCCGCCACACCAGGTGACACCACTGTCCCCCGAGAACAGCCTTGTCACCTGGCCGGCCAGTGTGGCTCAGCAGCTGAGCGTTGACCCAGGAATGAAGAGGTCACCGGTTCGATTCCCGGTCAGAGCACCTGCCCAGGTTGTGGGCTGGATCCCCAGTGGGGGCTGTGCAGGAGGCAGCCGATCGATGGCTTCCTCTCTCATTGATGTTTCTATCTCTCTCCCTCTCCCTTTCTCTCTCTCTGAAAAGAATAATAGTAATAATAACAGCCGTGTCCAGGGCCTCTCCTCTGCCTCCCCCGCACCCCTGCGTGCTCTGGGGGCTGAGTGCAGGCGCCTCCACTGTGTGTTCACTTCCACTTGGTGGCTCCCAAGGCTTCCTCCGCCCACTTCCTGCTTCTTCCACTCCCGCTCTCCAGGGGCCTCTGGTCACCTGGGGTTTCCTGACCACACCTCCGCGGGTGCTGATTCTCGATGGTGAGGACCCATCCCGCCTTCCTCGCCTGCCCAGCCCCTCTCTGGGCCGAACAACCCCCGCCAATCTCCCCCCAGGTTCTCCCTGACCGTCTCCAGCCCCCTGGCCTCCCCACCCAGGCTGCACCCACTGCCATCCGTGTTCCTGAGGCTCAATGCCCCCGCCCCAGGCCGCCCACCGAAGGGCTTCTGCGTCTCAGCGTCGCACCCCCAGCTCCTCCGGCACAGCCAGAGGCTCCCAGGCCCAGCGGACTCCGTGCAGTTCTCTGGGGCAAGACCTGTCTGCCCCGGCACCTGCTGGCCCTGTCGCTGCCACACCCACAAGGAAACCCTCTCACCTGTGGCGTCCAGGCCCTCCATGACGATGACCGGGAACGTGCCTCTCTGCACCTGCCGGGGGCACTGGTCCACCAGCTCCAGCACCGCCCGGGCCTCGGGCATGAAGGGCGTGCACTGCAAACAGCACCTCAGCGTCAGCGGGGAGCGGGCTGCGGAGCCTCAGCTGAGCCGAGAGCAAGCCTGGAGCCCGCAGGCAGCCATGGCGGCTGGCGCCACCCGGGTTCACGGTGTGCAGACCCGGAGGGCGGGGTGGCTGTGGCTCAGAGTCGGTAACGGTCAGGGTTCCGGTCCCCGAGGAGGAAGGACAGGAGTGACACCCCATTACGGACCAGCGTCACCCAGCGATGTGGGAACTCCGGCCCCGCCTGGGAAGTGCGTCCAACATGGAGGATCGGCTGCACCCACCGTGGGCTCCGAAGAGAGCTGTGGGCGCCCCCCTCCATCGCTCCTGTGTGAAACCCCACCCTGCGGAGTGGGATGATGGAGGGAGCACGGGCACCTCAGGGGCTCAGGAGCCGGGGTTCTTGGGGACCCAGCCTCGGCAGGGCCTGGGGTCCCGGGGCGCCTGGGGAGGCCACTCTGTGGGCCTGGATTCATTTTACAAGCTTATGGGGAGCGTGGGATCAGGCGGGAGCAGAGCGGGCTGTGATGGGGATTCAGAGAGCGGACTCTGGGTCACCCCACAGCAGCCCCCCCGCCCCTCCTGGCAGCTCTGTGCTGAGGCCCAGGCATGGCTGTGTGCGTGTGCTTGGCTGAGCCGGGCCTCCTGACAACTCTGTCAGGGGTGGTCCCAGCATTTCCTCTGTGGATAAGGAAACAGGTGCAAAAACATTTAAGAAACTTGCTGAGCCCGGCCAGCGTGGCTCAGTGGCCGAGCGTCCACCCAGGAGCCAGGAGGCCAGGGTTCGATTCCTGGTCAGGGCACAGGCCCGGTTGGGGGCTCAATCCCAGTGTGGGGAGTGCAGGAAGCAGCTGATCCATGATTCCCTCTCATCATTGATGTTTCTCTTTCCCTCTCCCTTCCTCTCTGAGAATAAAAAAAAAAAAATTAAAAGAAAGTGAAAGTGACACAGGCCCTCAATGCCAGAGTCGGGGTTCCACCCCAAGCAGCGGGGCCTGCACACCTGTCCCCAGGGCGACCCCATAAGCTTGTAGAATGAATCCAGGCCCACAGTGTGGCCTCCAGGGCGCCCTGGACCCCAGGCCCTGGCGAGGCTGGGCCCCGAGAACCCCAACTCCTGGGCCCCTGAGGTGACCGGCGCTCCCTTCGTGCCCAGCAACGCAGGGCGGGGTTTCACCAGGGGCGATGGAGAGGGGAGCGGGCAGCTCAGTGGCCCAAGCAAGCGGCCTGTTTCAGTCCCAGGTACTTACACCCCCAGAGGCCTGCCTTTCTGCACCCCCACCTCGGGAGGTGAGACCCTGAGCTGACATCATCTCCAAGCCCCGTGGCTCCTGTCCTGTCCTGTGCCCAGCTCTGCGCCAGGGGCCAGGTGGTCCACATCGGGGTGGGCGGTCCTAGCGGCTGGGCTCTCCAAAGGGCCTGGACAGAGCCGGACAGAACCAAGGACCCGGCCAGAGGGGCCTTGCCAGGCAGCCCCGCCCCACCCCCT